TCCTGGCTCAAGATCCAATTCAGAAGCCTTCTTACAATTAAGTGTTATGTGACAAGCTGACATTGCCCGGTCTTTGTGTTTTCTGACCTTTACACTGTTGAAAATAAAGTGTAACCCTGTCCTTTAAAGTTCCATACCAGTCATCCATGTAACTATTAACTCAAAAGAGAGGCTACTTTATTAGCTGAATAGCCAATATCTAGCTAGTTCTTTGTTAATTTATAAAATTCTGATGTGTCTTTTTAGGTCAATTTTTGATAATTTATATTTTACTGGAAAAGTTAGGAGTTTGAATAGAAGTTGAGAAGTATTCAGTTCAGAGACAGCATGCTTATGAATTTCATCCATTCTGTATAGTCTAATGCTTTCTCACGATTAGATTGAGGTGACACACTTTCACAAGAATACCACAGAAATGATTTTCTCAGTGCGTCAGATCAAAAAGGTGAATGAATGGGCTTGCTCTGTCTTCTTATTATATTGTTAACATTTTTTCACTTGTTTGAGGTAGAGTTAGCCTGGTTTTTCCACTGTAAACTCACTGTTCCCCTTTGTAACTGGTAATTATCTCATAAGGCGCTGCTTTCTTTTTTTCTTATTAATGACTTATTATTTTACATCTGTGCTTATTTTTTCACAATATAGAATTTCTCCCTTCAGTTGTGGTCACCAAAGTTTTCTCACCTCCAAAGCGCCCATAGTCCTTTGTCCACCATAGTCCGTTGTGATTTCCTCTCCTCCTGTTTTACCCCTTCTCCTCTTACTCTCCCTCCCCTCCTGGATATTTCAGATCTATTGTCAGCTTTTGGTACTGCATCTTTTAGAATTTCATTTTTAACTATGTTTTGATAATTTTTCACACACTGTGAAGTATTTTTATTTTTATGTGTCTGAATTGATAGTTTCCATGACTTTTTAATATGAAGTCTTCAATATTTTCTTCCTCTTTCATTAAAGATCATTTATAGTCATTTTTTTCCCAATTTTTTTTTCTCTCAGAACTCTTATTATACTGAATTTGTCACTTTTTTTTCACCATTCTCCAAGTTACTCCTTTACTTTACCCATCTGCTCACCATATCTCTCATGTTGAAAATGTTGTGAGGTGAGAAAGAAGAGTTTGCTAAACAAACAAAAACAACTATGTTGTCCTATGAAATTGGATCAGTAGTGGAGTTAGGGAAAAATATTTTTGTCTACCTTTTAAAACTGAAAATGACTAGGGAGCAAATTAGTATGCTGGGCGGTTGATTCAGTAGAGAAGGTGATGTTGATTATTCAAAAGAAAGAAGGACAGGGCCTCCCCGGTGGCGCAGCGGGTTGAGCGCCACACTATGAAGCTGCCCGCAGCCTCTGCAGCGCGGGATCGATTCCCGGCTGGCCAGGGAGATTACCACATGGCTCAGCAGACCTCTCCTGCCTTGCCCGCCACTCCCCTCAGCAATGTCTTCAGTCTGTCTGCCTGTTCTGTTCCCCACTCTGTCTCTGGTGAATCCTCTCACCCTCCCGTGCCTCTGACTGTACCCCGGTTCTTGTATAAATAAATAAATCTTAGAAAGAAAGCAAGAAAGCAAGAAAGAAAGGACAAAAGTCCTTCATAGGAACATAGAACCTAGAGGCTAATTCAAGTTAGCATCATTTGATAAGATGCTGGAAATGCCTTGATTGTAACAGGACAGAAAACGAAGGCAATGACAGGTACAGATACAAATATATTTTTGTTGATGGTGGAAAATTGATCATTTTATAACTATCATCTTTAGCTATTTCATAACTAACAGTTTTCAATGAAGAGGTTTTAAAATTATTAACAAAGAGGGACAGTATAATAAGGATGAGTCTGACAAAGAAAAAGTTGAAGAAAATATATTATTTTGCTTTTCTTTTCAGTCCCTCCTAAATCTATTCCATTCAGACTTGTCCGCACTAGGCTGCCCAAGCAACTTTTTCTAAAGTTCTGAAGCCCTCCCCATTGTTATAAACCCAGTCTTGCTCTAAGCTGACATAGCCACAGAACTGGAGGGTAAAGGCAGCCCCCAGCCCTTGGTACTTTTCTTCTGCGCCTTCTAGGACACTCCCAACTTCTCCTGCCTCACTTGTGATTGTATTTCTTGGTCTCTTCACTGGTTCATACAATTCTTCCCAAACTGTTAACTTTGGATGCTCTAGAGCTCAATCCTGGGACTTCTCGTTTCTCTCTACGTTCTTCCATTGTTGTTCTCACCAGTTTCATTATTTTGAAAATGAAGCGTAAGCTGACAACTCTCAAATATTTATCTCTAGTCCAGGATTCTCTCCCAAATGCCAGACCCCAACTACCTATGTTTCATTTCCATTTAGATTCTCAGAAATACCTTAAAAATGAAATCTAGCTTTTTTTCTATAAAAACTATCTATACCATAGCTTAAAAATGAAATCTAGCTTTTTTTCTATAAAAACTATCTATACCATACTCTGCATTACTATTTCCATGGATAGAATTCCAACCTTTTGTTTGCTTAGCAACAGAAAAATTGGTGTCAAGTTCTGTTACTCTCCTCTCTCATTTCCCATCTCTTCTAATAGAAATCCCGTTTCTGTAGACTCAAAATATATGTAGAATATGATTATTTCATACCTTTGGTATTACTGAGCTGACATTACTGGTACCCTTGCCTAACTTTAATCCATTCTTAACATATTAAACAGAGATTCCTTTAAAACATAAATCAGACTATGACTCTCCTCTGCTTAAACCAGCAGTGCCTATACATTGCTTTCAGAATATGAGCCAAGGTTCATACAAAACCCTGGAAAGAACTCTATGATCTGACCGCTACTATTCTCCATCCATTATTCCACCCCTGCCCTGCTTACCTCCTTGCTGTGCCTTGAATATACCAGGCTTGCTCATGCCTTAGTGCATTTACTTTTTTTTCAAATCAGCAGTATCACTTTTTACAGTTTTTATTTCCCTGTAAAAATTGCAAGATCAACTTTTATATCAAATATATGTATGCATATATATGTATATATATATATGTATATATATGGTAAAATATGGTTGTGTTTTTGTCTGGTTCTAAAAAACAAATTTCTGGATTTTTTGTGGACTTTTTTGGTTGTTTGCTGTTATTGCTCATTTTCATTGACGTTGTCCTACCTCTTTGTGTATCTGAATCTGTTTATTGGATATTCCAATGGAAAATTAATTTGTAGAAATTACTTAACTCATATGACATTATCTTCCTGTAGAAAGTTTTTGATTCTTGTCAAACACCGAAAATACTAGCAAAGAAAGACTACCTTAATTTAATTTGAGGCTGTTAGGTCATATTTTCTAAACCATTATTTGCAATGATTTGAGGCTGAGTGAAGATCATGTGAAATCTTCTAATGTTGTGACTCAATTTATTCTTGGCAGGTCCTGCTGTCTGACTTTTATGTCCCTAAGCCTTTGAGACTGTCAAAAGTTTAGATCAGCTTCTCAAGCAACTCATCATTATTTACAAACCTTTCCAGGTCGAAAGAGTCCCAAAACCTTGATTCCTCTTTTTGGACTGACATCCTCTCCTGAACTTGTTCCCAAATTCTTCACTATATTGTTATCATCAATGTTTTTAATAAAATATTTATAATATTTTGCTTAGATTTGTTATTACTTTTCATTGAAGGACTACTTTGAGTTTCCTAGGTACCATTCTCAGAGGTGGAAATCCACTCTTCAAATTCTGCACTGGTTCTAACTTGCTGGAATGCTCTTTATGTAGACATCCACATAGCCAACTCCCCAATTTTCTTCAAATCTTTGCTAAATATCACCTCTGTATTGACCATCCTATCTGAAGCTTGTAGAATTCCTGCCATTTCAGCAGCTGAGTGGCCTTAAAATACAGGTGTTTTACAAAAGCAAAGACAATTTCCTCTACAAGAATATATTACATTAGGTTTAAAATTATTTCTAATCATTTTCATTGTATTTATCACCTAATGTGTGGTATAATTAAGTAATTATTTTATTCCCTGTTTTCTCGCCTGCTATATATAAGTTCCCCAGGGACAGCCCATCTTTGTTTCCTTTGCTTATTTATAAATTTCAAAGGTGTAGGACCACTCTTAGCACATAGTATACACAGTGCACATTTGTTGAATAGATGGATGACTCTAATAGTCACTTCATTTCACAAAGTGGGAAAGTATGCACAGAAGAGAAAAATTGGGGCCTTGCAAGGCAGTACTGAGTACCTGTTGAAAGTTGGCAATCATTAATTTATAATGAAATCAATTAGCTAGGTTGAGTTTCTCCAGTAATGTTTTGAGAAAAAAATAGATTGTTAGGTCTATTCAAAGTTTTGTTGTTGTTGTCTTGGCAGGTAAGTTTCATAAGGAGAGAGAAAGGTAAAATAAATTAAGATATTAAAATGATTAAGAATATGAAATTTGTGCAAGCTAAGAGATAGTGAAGGCTAAATGGAACTTGTAAGAGTCAATGATTTTGAAGACCCAATGAGGCTGGAGAAATGTTGCTGGTAGGTTCCTGAACAATGGTGATGGTACATAGGAGGTAGAGTTATGAAAGTGGAATGATGTTAGAAATTTCTGATGTATCCCATTTTATCTGTGAAGACTAAGTCTAGGAATGGTCCTGGAAGTTATTGAAGTGAGTTGTATAAGAATATCCTTGGAGTTGAGCTGCTCAAATAATTGAGAGGATAGAAACTTTTATATGAATTTTGAAATATCTAAAAATTACATGAGAAATTATTATGATTCAAGAATGAACATCATCAAGAAGTAAAGGGAAATTTACCAACAAGCTTATCAATAACAACAGTGAAAAAATAATGAAGTGCTATATTTTAATGAAATAATTTTCAAAAGAACAGGAGATTTTATATCAAAATGAAAGAGTAATAGAAAATCTTGTTAGAAAAAGCATAGCAAACACTTATCTCAGAAGTTGAATTGTTTAGTATTTTCTTGATTACTTCATAGTAAAATTATTTTTATTTTCATACAGATGCCAACAACTCTTCCGAGAGCAGCTGGTCGAGAAACTAAATATGTAAGTCTCTTCATAATTATACATACTGCCTTTTTAATGGTGCATGTGTATGCTTCCAAGGAAACTCAATTATACAGTCATTTAAATTAAATTACTTGTTTTTTTTTCCTTAAGTGTTAAGGGATAAGATGGTATGATTGTTTCAGATGTGGAAAATCAGGTTATATCAGCTGAGTTTATTGAATAAGTTCCTTCTAAAGTGAAGTCTAGCTTGATTAGTTCAGCTAAATAAAATAGAAATCCATTTCTGCTCTCTGTCTTTCTAATTATCAAAGCTTATTTGACATTTTCATTTGTTATTGGTTTATTGTGCTTATTATGAGTCAACTCATGTATTTGAAACATTAAGATTTATCTGTTTCTAGTGGAATTACCAGTTTAGTTGACTTTGATTAGTTTACTTTCTTCATTTAAATTATTACTAAATAAACCAATTTCCAGTTATGAGCAAAAATAGTTAATAATGAATATGTAGATACAAACTCACACACTTGATTCAATTAATAGGAGAGAGATGACTCTAATTCCCTACATGCACGGGCACATACATACACGCACACACACACACACACACACACACACACACAGACTCATTCTATCCCTACTTTTTCTTTATATTATCAACTCCTGCTTCTGACCAAACATATTCTAGTAGATACAAGATTGTCTCCTAACAAGTACTTAGATTTTCTTTAAAACAAACTAATAGACTACTTTTTTGAATTATATGTAATATTTTTTCTAATATGTGATTTTCATTATCATTACCATCATCATTATGAGTAAATAATCATTCCATGTATATTTTGCAAAATAGTATTAAAGCTTATACATTTCTGCCTTTATTTGAATTTCCCTAAGGCAAATAATGAACTAGATATTACTGAATGTTATCACATGTAGGAAATGATATCTAGAGGGTATTAGTAGAAACATTGCTTAGAGCATTTCCTAGAAGCTTCACTGTTATTTTTTGTTATTGTTGGAATCCATTTGATATGCCACTTAGAAAGAGTAGAGGCATTTAGAAGGCTATATCCAAATTTATATCTCTAATTTTCTGATCTTGGACAATTGGTTAACCTCTCTGTGCCTTAGGTTTTTCATCTATACTATTGGAATACTAGTATTTGCTTGGTGTCAGATTTATTTTCGTTAATGTATGATAAGTTCTTAGTATAGTCCTCATACTATAAAAATTATAGTTATCCCTTTATTTCTCTTTTGTTCCCCTTGCTTTTCTCATCATCCATGCCATCACCCTTCTCTTCTTCTACCTATATTGGGAAGACTAGAAGCACGATGGTTTAAGGTGAATTCCTTGGTTCTTTAGTTGGGAACAAGAAAAAAAAATGCCCAAAAGAAGTTTCTACATATTCTGTGACTAATACATTCTATAAAATCAGATCAAGACAAAGTAGTGAGATATTTTGTTCTTGTTCCTTTTATCACCTATTCCTACATTTCACCAAAGTGTCTCTGACTTAGATTCATTTACATACAATAAGGTGTATTGGAACTATGCTTCCTAAACTCCCTGGGGCAGGTAATTTGATAGCAATTAGAATAATTCCAAAGGGGTTGCTTCAATCTCTATCATCAGAGGCTACCTCAAATTATTCTTTAATCACTTATCAGACTTAATGAAAGTAGGTTAACAGTTTCCCCAAAGTTTGTGAAATCATCTGAGTCATTCAAAGTTAACACTGAATCATCAAACAGATTTATATAGACTAGAACAAATACAAACTCTGTTTCAGAAAAGAAACTTGACTTTGGTTAAATTTGGTTTCTTGACTGAGAAGCTTCGTTTTTTACTTTCTGTCATAACATGATATTTGAATTATTGGCGATACCTCAAATGTATTTCTTTTTTTTTTAGAAGACTTGTAAGGGACAATTTAATGATGAAAGGAAAAAGCCAGTTCTTTGGTTGCAAATCATAGATAAGTCACAATTGTTAATATTTGGCTGCAGTTGTTGCATTTAATAAGTGATATCTGATACATTATTTTTTAGGGGGAAAGTGAAATTTTAGAGTAGACTTGACATTAACTGTAAGTCTTGATCTTTTTTATTTTTAAAGATTTATTTATTTATACAAGAACCAGGGTACAGGCCAGATGTGCGGGAGGGTGAGCGGATTCACCAGAGACAGAGTGGGGAACAGAACAGGCAGATTGACTGAAACACACTGCTGAGGGGAGCAGCGGGCGAGCCAGGAGAGGTCTGCTGCGCCATGTGGGATTCTCCCTGGCTGACCAGGATCGAACCCGCTCTGCAGAGGCAGCAGACAGCTTCACAGTGTGGCACTCAACTGCATGCACCACCAGGGAGGCCCTATAAGTCTTCATCTTATGTGAATAATTTTTCCTGAGTTTTTAAAAAAGAATGGCCTTGTAGTATTTTATTTGAGAAACTTTAATAATCATATTGTCTGAGCTATGAGATACCTCAAATTAAATGTGAACTGAATAATTTTCACTCACTTAATTTTCTATTACTATATGTTTCCCCCTCTCTCTTCCATGGACACTCAAAGGTGAATCTGAGAAGTCTACAGACTTTCACCTTTCAACATTCCATTGTCTGTCTTCAAAACTTTGAAGAAAATAGGGATCTTCACAGTAAATACAAATTAGTACTCAATGTGTCCTTACTTTGTAGAGGGTCTTAGATTAGACTCATAAGCAAGGATCACACAGCTTACCAACTTCTGTATCACAGAAGAAAAGAAGGGAAGACTTAAGTTAGAGCCAAAAATAAAATAATTAAAAATTTTATTATACTTGAGGATATTCTTAATGTATTAGCAACAGAACAAAATCCTTATTTTTGAGGGGTTCTTTAAAAGTATAGTACATAGTGAATGAATCATGACTAGTAGATGATCTAGTCAGTATTTTCTGGTGCTGTTTTTCAATTTTCTACTTGTGTTGATCTAGCTAATAACTTGAGTGTCTATCATGTCCCAATACTTACAAGTAGTCACTGGGAAGAGAAGGCTGAACATAACAGCAAGAACCCCATTTCTGAAGCATACAGTGGAGTAGATGGTAATGGAAGATACAGAAAACAACTAAAATATTAAATAAGCAAGATATTTTCTTATAGCTGTTAGAGGAAACTGGCCAGAGAACTGATTGATATTAAAATAAACCTGCTAGGGCCTCCCTGATGGCACAAGTGGTTGAGACGCAACTTATAAAGCTGTCCGATGCCACTGCTGCACATGTTCGATTCCCAGCTGGTCAGGGAGCTACCCACATGGCACAGCAGACCTCTCCTCACTCGCTCACTGTTCCCCTCAGCAGTGTATTTCAGTCCATCTGCGTGTTCTGTTCCCCACTCTGTCTCTGGTGTATCCTCTCACCCCACCACACCTGTGGCCTGCTCCCTAGTTCTTGTATGCATAAATAAATAAATCTTAAAAAAAATAAAATAAACTTGCTACTCTTCAGTATATCAGACTGCTCACTTGATTTTCAGTTTTACTGGGATGATCATGTTGGTTTACTTACATAATGAGCAATTGTATGATTCTGATTGATTGGACCTTTGATGAAATGCTCTTTCCCACATTGAAAGGATTCCAAGCAAAATGATTGGTTTATTATTCTTTATTACACATATTGCTACATTTCACAGTCTGCTTTTAGCATGAGCAAGATGTAGTAAAAGCGCCATCAATACAAATTAGGTAAATCCAAGATATATTTCACTTCATGACATACTAGAATTCAGTAATTTTAAAGTTCTTTAATTGAGGTTCACTTAAGTGTAATAGAATTTCAATGAGGCTAACAATATATTGAGTAGTAGTGTTCCTTCCCCCTCAGTTTACTTGCAGGATTGATTATATTAGTTTATCATCAATATTTCACCTACTTTTTTTAATCGGATGCCAAACTCAACAATAATAGTAACTGAAATTTTTAGCTCTTATCATGCAAATAAGTTTCAACTATCTAAGCTAAACCATTCAGTAGTTCTATGAAGCGGTTATTTTTATTAATAATTAAATTAATAATTAAAATTTAATTAAAATATTCATTTTGCAAAGGAGGAAGTCAAGTTGTGGAACGCATAGCACATACAAACTCCAAATCAGTCTTCCTCATGTCAAAACCCCTACAGTTGATAATAGTATGCACCTATGGTAGCTAGGGGTACGCTTTCTTCCTTTAGCATTTCATTCATACTTTTGGGACTAAATCATTTCCTCATGCCCAGTAACTTTCAACCTAACCTTTGAATGAATAATTTCATATTTGATGACATGTAAAGGATAATGTTTTATTATATTTCTAAGGTTTTAAATCATTCACTAATGTTTAAATATTTATCAAGTAATATATGAGTGATTATTTCTTTTTTTTTTTAAGATTTATTTGTTTATTTATACAAGCTCTGGGTACAGTCAGAAGCACTGGAGGGTGAGAGAATCCACCAGAGCCAGAGCGGGGAGCAGAGCAGGCAGAAGGACCGAAGTACACTGCTGAGGGGAGCAGTGGGCGGCAGGAGAGGTCTGCATGCCATGTGAGACCCTCCTCCAGTGGCTGGGGAGCAGCCAGGGATTGAACTGGTGACGCAGAGGCTGCGGGCAGCTTCGCCACCCAGCGCTCAACCGCTGCGCCACTGGCGAGGCCCTGATTATTTCTTATAATACTCTTTTTAAGCAGTTTATTTCCCTCCTGTAAGGAATCAATTTGCTATATAAATTTCTATTTCATTCTATTTTCATTTTATCCTCTTAGGAGGGCAATGTCATTTTCCCTTTGTATTATACTTTAGAAATATATATTCTTCATTAATTACTATCTGGATAAATTTATTTCATTCATGAAATTCGGAACCACAATATGTTTTCTTAGTAAAGAGCAACCTCAGCAAATAAGACAAATAATTGAGCCTCTTATTTATCAAAGTGAAACCTTAGAATCACATTCTATTGATAACTTATTGCACAAACTCTTTGTATTTTATGAGTACTTTCAAGT